AGAAGCCATAGGAATCCACCTAAACAAGCCAAGTCTGTGTGTTCAGAAGAGATTCGTACAGCCTCTATCTGTATAGCTCATTCATTACAACAAGACTCTTCATTTCATTCACTACACAATTGACTATAACTAATATTTTAATAGCTCTATTATTATTATTATCATTATTACAGATTTAGCCATCTTCCTCTCCCCCTACTGTCTCTAATTACCGTCAACAATCTACCATCATACGTAACAGTTCATTTTCGCTCTTTAGTTACCATTACACAAAATATCAATTATGTTAGAACCTGTTCACAAAATCTTTCTACCATAATTAATCTTTGCTTTAGTTAACTGTCTTAATTACCTGATCAATTATCACCTTCTTGATACTTTGAGATTGACAATCTTTCATTGAAGAACTCTCACCACTAGATTGGTATGTAATTTTACGTTTGAAAATGCTATATTAGTGTAGAACCATTGATGAAGAACTAATTGAAAAGAAATATTTCTTCGCTCACATTGTTTGTTTTACTAAATGGGAATTTTTGCATTATTTTGTGTGACGCATTTCTTGGTCCCCTTGCTGTACCACGTTTGTGTTCTAATAATAATAATAATAATAATAATAATAATAATAATAATATTCTTTAAGGTGACGAATACATTTCACTCACACCTGCGTAAATTAAAAGATCCGATTTCTCATTTGGAACAACAAAACTGTGTTTATAAGGTAGACTGCAGTGAATGCGATGCCACATACATTGGAGAGATATTAGGTCAAGTACTAACACGCCTAGCCGAACACGGTAGAAGTTCAAAAAAACACCAGAAATTTCCTATGATCTAGAAAAACTTGAAAAAAGCTCTGCTATCGCGGCTCATGCCCTATATTCAGGTCATAAAACATCATTCGAACAGACAAAAGTTCTGCAAAAGGGCTTTCTCTCACAAAGAGCGGACCATTGCAGAAGCTTTGCACATCTGCTCATATCTTTCTACGGTCAACAGAAAATGTAGGTGGAACAGAAATAGGGATTTAAAAACTTTTAGTCCCTATTTTTGTTTCACCTTACTCGCACAACGGAAAAACCTCTCTGACCGAGTTGCTTATTCACTCACCTGTATTACAATGATCTTTGCTCCATATCACTATGTAATTGGATGGTTGTAAAGGTCACCACTTTCTGCATCAAAATTTGAATATTAACCTGAAAACTTAGTGTCAGATTCATTCTCTTGAAAAGGATCTTTCTAGCAAGATCGAAACGTTGAGGAATAATACAAAATATTTGTTTATTTTGTTACTTGTTCTAATATACTACGCCGGGACTACACAAGTAAAATACATCCTATACAACGAATAATAATAATAATAACTCTTTATCTTCGTGTAACCCCCCTACACCATAGTAATCTGACTTCTGGTATCCACTTAGTTTTATCTTACTGTTCCTTTTATTTCCTCTAGTATGTGTGATATCTCTCCCTTGTTCTGTCTACTATTGTAAATCAATTACTTGACTATCAAATGAGCCTCTTTTTGGCAGAAACGATCGAGCTGATTTAAAGTGAAATGAAAAAGTAGAGGAATCCAAGTAAAGTTAGAATAACCGACTTTTACGTAGGAGTGGACGGATGATGACGTCAAGTATGATTTTGAAATATTTATCAATCAAGATTCCGGTTGACAGGAAGCGTTTTAGATGAAAACTAACATTTTAAGTCATCAGTTGCCAAAGTAAAATTATTTCAATTTTTGTTTCATGTTTCTGTGTGGTCAGGAAAAATCTTGTTGTACGATTTATCCTATAGTTGACCAATCAGAATAGGATATTTAACTTTTGATGTATTTTTGGGAAATAAAGTGTTTTCCCCACAGTCACAGGCCAGTCTTTGTCGCCCGGTATTTTCGCGACTCAGTGAAGTATTAGGTTCTGAGAGAGAACAGTCATTATTCATATCCTAAGTACCTCTCCTCATCGCATTAGTATTGTTGTCGTATTTATCATAATCCACTCACGGTTATTTCTTTAGCATGCAAAATACACAGTCTAAACAACTATCAAGTATTTCCTCGCAGCCATACACTAAACGTCCTATGGTATTTCAATGTTATGCGTTTATTCACTCACAGATAGATAAAACGGATCAACATAGAGAAAATATTCAAAATATCGAAGATAACAAACTGTGCTTACAACTCCACCACTGTGATAGATTTTTAGCGAAATTATCGGGCTCTTTCAACCCCTTTGATAACCCTAGTCTGGCAGTTTATACTCCCTCATATGGTTTGCATCAACAGTTAAAGACTTTGTAGACTGGTCCCACATCTTGGTCGGATTCCTTTTAGCTTTCTATCAAACAATTAATTCTGCTTCAGCAAACATAGTATGTGAATACAGGTGCAGGTTAAATACATATAACATATATCCAAGCTACTGTAGTCTGTGATTGTTTTCAAACTGAACGACTGATTTTTTCTCTCCTTGCTTAGTACCCTACAGCTAAGTTCCACTTTGTTCATAAAGTAATTCCACTACACACCAGTCATACTAAAAAGACATCCATGTTCAAAATCTTGTAGTTTCTTCATGTCTTCTATCTTCAGCTGCTGTTTCGTAGTGCAAATACAATAGCTTAGAACGGACTCAAGCTGTAAAAGATATTTTACACATGGTAGAAATGGTGCAATATGACAATTTCTAAGTTTGCCTTTTGTATCCCCACTGAAATTTCAGCATCAATCAACCTATTACGACTTATTTTACTCCTAAAGCAAGTGAAGTGGTCAACGCATTTTACCAATGTACACTATATTCACTGAAGTGCTGTACTTAATATATTTTTCTCTTTGTTTATGGTAACTGCATGAGAATTTTCACTTAGCTCAGTACCAGTCTTCTTTCTGACATTTTTATATGTATAGGAGTAGTGATGTATAGTGGCTAGCAAAGGAATCCAGGACATGAGTTTCATCCTATTTGGAACTCGTCAGTTGGGTATACCTCACTCCCAGTGAGTGATGTTGTTTCTCCTAAGACTCGAACGCCGGACCAATAGATTCGGATGGGACAGTGTTATTCACTAGGCCACCAAGTCACAATAACCAATCATTGTGAGACGTGTACCGTTTATATGTTATTGCCTGCAATATCCCGTCGTTGACTCGACCGAATCGATCGGTCTCTACTGGCATTCAGGCTCCTGCGCGAATACCTCGGTATTGCCTATACTTCCAGTTTGACAGTAATACCTTACCAAATCAGGAAATAATATTGGCGTAGGTATATCGATTGTCTAGTGCTGCGGCTCACCGGACACCAATTCAGCACCACCTACCTCATAACCTAGTACAAAAATCTGTACTGGAATGAGTTGCATCAAATTCAGCTGAATGGAATCGAATCATTACCTTAACCTACTTTTTAGCCAGGTAGTGATTTAGCTTGTTTATAAAGGATAATCGTTGACTGAAAGGGTATATTCTCCAAAAGAATTATAGACAATCAAGAAAGCACAATTATTTCATCTCTTTTTTTTTATCATGATCCATTATTTCTGAGGAGTTCCGTTTACTCTAGGAAAAAAGGGTACCGATGCAAATACTGCAAAAATCAGTTGTTGTTTACAAACTTATATCTCAGTGTAAATATTTGAAACCTACCTTGTTATAGCGCCAATTTTAGCCTGTAAAGCAAACTATCTCTAGTAAATTCTATGAACTAGCTTAAGGTGCCGGAATTACGATAGGTATGAAATCGTAATTACCTTTCAATTGCGATAAGCGTATGTATGCAGGACAACTAAGAAAGGGTCAAACACTACTGACGAAAGTGTCGCCATAAAGTGTTCAGTTTGGACAGGTTGATCTTGATTACATAAACCCCTACTAGTCCTTGTAAAGGCAACCTATTTTGTAACTGAACCCCATTCAATACAAGGAATCTTCTGATGATTCACTTCTCACACTACGGGTGATGAAATACAAGCTATATGACAGTCACTTCTTTCTCTATTTCCAAATTAACTGGCTTTTATTGTACACTTTCTGATAATCTAAACAATTGCAATTTTTATCAAAAACTACAAAGAATTTTACCCGGGACTATTTTACATGAGCAATGAATAAAGCATATAATTGATTACTGAAATTACCAATGATGAACTTAATTTTCACATGGGAACTTTCATACCAACATTATAGTTATTGAATAAGTGCCTCCAAGGAAGTTTCAAAAAAATGAAACCAGCTCCTGCTAACTAAACAAAAACTCCAAAGCCACATAGCTTGTAGTGGTCACCAATTGAAAAGGCCATGCCAATAACTGTTGTTTCCTATACAGTTAACGCTTTGAAAATAAGCCGTCAAACAGCTTTGCAAAGCTATACTTTCGTAAATTTGTACAATTGTATGATAGTCCAATCGAAACAAAAAGGTAGGCTAAATCTGGTGACTCATATGGCTTGTGGCATCGCCGAGATGCTCACTTATTCGAAAGCAGTAGCATGTACTTCTGCGTGTCTAGTACTATCAGATGATTTTGGCCATCATGAGTCCCAGATACGATGAAATTTTTAAGGCCTGGTTATTTTCATTTTTCAACTTTTTGTGTTGTATGAAATCACGAAACTCAAAGTCTACACTAGCTGCGGAATGAAAGATGAAAAACATACTTGATTGAATGAAACGGTCAAAGATTTAGTGGAGCAGATAGATCACGTTTTGCAAGAAATTACCGATGTTTTACCTAGGATACCGAATTCCAGTTGGAATAGGAGTAAATTAATGGTTGGATAAGCTTAGCTGCAACGAATTATAGTTTTCCTCCAAAGACATTAAAGCCTAATAGGATTGTGCCTCCTCAAAAGAGGTTAACCGCAGTCTGAAGGTGGGTTTCTGAATATACATGTGAAGCATATTATTCAACACAAGTTTAAATTGTGATCAAGTCTAGTTAAACGTAACTACTTACATTGAAATTCAAAAACAAAAACATGCTTACTGTAATAACGCTTTTGTTTTATAAGCTGGATCATCTGGACGGTAATTACGAAAGTCAGATACCTCTTTTTCTAAACTAATTAACTGGGCTTGTAAGCGATTGCGTAGATTAGGTAAAGTTTCACGGATATGATTGGTAAGTTGTTGATTAAGTATTCTTTGAAGATATGGGGTCCCCATACGATCAGCCATATGACGATAACTGGGATGTGAAAGAAAAACCTGCGTTCAGCCTCCAAAGCAGCACTTATATTCTTATGTCCATCGATATCCCGCTGACTTCTATTAACGACACCAACATAACCTGAACGAGAAAATTATTGGTGAGCTTTAAAAAGCAATTTACAACAGTAAAATAACTACAATACACTCATATCTACTCGAAGGAAAGAATATGTAGAAGCACTGAAGATATTAGGAGTACATACCGTTCAAGCGCTACAAAAATATTTAGCAAAAGATATATAAGGGCATTTATGACGTCTAGCCTTATAAGTACTACTAGATACATAACAGAACAACGTACCCGATTTCCTAAAACCGCACTCCAAACCAAATGTTGGTGCTTTCAATGTCCATATACTCCATCAAATCAGCCAACAAGATTTGGTAGCCAAAACTCTGGCATCTCGGCCCATGGACGTGTGCTATTTTTATGCATGAAAAAATTCCTACAGGCTCCAAGCACAACGGGGAGTGGAATAAACGTAAATGTAGAGTAGCGAAGAGTTCGTGAGCTAACCGCGAGCAGTGGTGGGGACCCAAGGATGAAGAGGTGGAAAAGATAGTGACGATAGGCAGCAATGGACAGTTATTTAAACTTATCAAGGAAACTGACAAAAACGTCAATGGTTACTGATACATAACACAAGTACGGGTCTGTGACTCACTCACAGGGAAAAGGCGGGTACGACGCAGTTTAATTGGCCTCCAGCTAATCTTCGATCTACGAAGCTTTTGACTAACGGTTTGAGTCATGTACAGAAGTGTAGGCTTCCTCGTTGCAGTCCAAGTGACAACTAAAATCTGCAGTTGGATCAGAATCTATCTTATTGGCACAATGTATCTACATAGTGTTTTCATTCAGTTTATCATACCGAATGTCTTCACCGTTTTATTCCTTGTTTTCTTTCTCACGAAATTTTAACACTCCTGGCTGCCTTTTTTTATTTCCCTAACTTCCACGTTGGCACCTTCAACAGCGATATGTTGGTGTGCAGTGTAACGTCTTGCACTGTTACGCAGCAATGGTTTCACTTTGGTGACCGATTAGATGTGTATGAAGCCTTTCAATTTTGTAGACTAATTGCCCGTAGATTAGAGACTGGAGCTAGTTTTTCAAATCGAGTCACATATTAAACAGAAAATAATCAATGCAATGATATTACTCAGTAGGTTTTCATGAGTATTTGGCATTTATTTGGTTTATTTAAGGATTGCGTGTTTCGAATGTGCGAAAATTAACTTGGTATTTGGTCAGTTTTAACGAACCGGTAAAGCTCCGACAATTCTACAGTTAAGAAAACATATTTATTTGGATAGCATTGTTACCACGGAGGATTTTGTAGTATTTTAGTGTAAAACATCTTAAAAAATGTATCCAAGTATGTTCCCAGATATGTAATCAAAGTGACATGAACAGTTGTCTGGTGTTCGAGAATGTTAAATTTTTCAAGAACAAATTAGTTGGTTTATTATGGTTCCATAAGTTAAGCGTATTTTTTCCTACAAGGCAAATTTGCTGCTAGATTTGCAAAGTGAATTTACGTCCATAAAGTGTAATTAATACCTATTACTTGCAGAGCGAAGTTGTGATTTGCAATATCCAACCTATATTGTACAGTCTAACCTCTAAAAGCTTGGGAATTAGTATGGTATTGTACAATACCAACTGGTAGTTGAGTAATCAAAGTAAAACTGTAAGGAAAGCTTCGGTTATAAGTAAGCCCAACGCGAGATACATGAGGAACAAACAGACAAAATCAAAGTAAAATCTTGCACAGAAGTACGTCGGTTCAAGTTGCCAAACCATAGTAGTATGCAAAGAACAAGTTGTTAGAAAAAGTGATACCAAAGTATACAATTGTATGGGAGAAATTCGGAAATCAAGGTTAGTCAGTATGCTTACGTATAAGACATTAAAGGGCGAATATAACTATGCTAATAGGGTCAATTTTTAGCCATTTCATTGAGGGCATCCAACCACTGCCTCTTATCATCTCCAGGACCCCAGTCAGGCAGCGTACGCCCTACACAGCTCAGACCAACAGATACACTTTAGACTAATGGTTTGGACATAAAAAAACCACTAGTGATCAAAACAATCTGTGGAAGACTAGAAAAAACTCTTTGAGAAAGAATTCATACACCTATCACTGTTCAGATGCAGTTTCTTTTGATGACTTTCTGTAACCATGTTTAGCACAGTGCAAACAAAATCACATCCGTTCCATCCTAATTTAGTTAAATTGAAACTTGACCTTGATTACCACCAAAAACAATAGCCAATATTGCAGTCAAGCCGTTTAAACTGTTAATGGTGAAAAAGTAAGCAACATATTGGCATGAAATACTTTAGGGAAATATCTAAAAGACGAAAAGCAGGGTTTCACAATAACAACTATCGTGAAGTTTGCAATATTAAATGTGACCTACAGAGACAAAAACCATTGAGTACATATATATATATATATATATATATATATATATATATATATATATCAGTTTTTAAGAAAAACTGTTCATACAGGAAAACAGTACTACAAGAGACGCAAGGTTTAGCCACCATAAATGTGGAATAAAACAAGCACTTGGTGTTTAGCTGGGTATACTTTTTGTAACCAGACACGTTACCAGACAAAACATTTACATCAATGGGAAATATACAACTTTACCTCTTCGTAGCGGAAGCAATCTATTTTCGAGGATTTCTTGAGCATCTGTACCATCATCCATCAAGTCTAACTTAGTTATCACACCAATGGTACGAAGACCCTGTGGGTCATATTCCTTTGCAAGTTTTAAAGCATCGGAGTTAGCGAGGTCAGAGTTGGCGGGACTGACGGCCAAAATGAGACAGGAATCCTTTTCGATGAACTCAATGATCATATTGCGGATTTGAGTCTCAATATCAGGTGGCTGATCTCCAACTGGAACTTTGGTCATGCCAGGAAGATCAATAAGAGTCAAATTGAGAACTATAAAAAGGTAACATTTAGTAGGTCGTGAAACGCGACTAACCTCTAGATGAATGAATCCTGAGATTGATTGGAATGTTGGAAATACCTTTATTTGAACCAGTGAGGCGGTCCGTTTCTTGCTCGATTTCTCGACGTATGTCATCGAAATCTGTGAACTTTTTATTCTTGCAATGGATGAATTCTCCATACTCGACTAGGAAGCGGGAGTGACACATTTAATAGAATATCTTACCTGACTTATCGTGCACTAACTGCAAAATAAGTGGCCTTCTTGTAACAATACCGTTACCTCGTGGTAAAAAATCGCTGAAAGAAAAAACATGGTAGTAAATAAAAAGCCTACCGTCCCACGAAATTTTCGAGCACAGAGCTTTTGCCAGCACTCTGGCTCCCGACAACTGCAATTTGAGGTAAGTCAAGATTAAGAGGAAGGTTAAGCGATGCGAAGGCATCTTGGAGCTTGTTAACCAGTGGGATAAGTCTTTCCATCCCCTCATTTCCATACATCTTAGCGAGACCACAGAAATGTACGCAACTTTCGTAGTGCCCACTCCTGTATAACCTTGAAGGACCTTAGATCAAGGTCGTCGTGATGGTCACTTTCTTGCCTCAAAGTTAAATACTTTTATTTACTGCCTAAAGTTGGATTATCACTGCTCATTGTGATTTCAGTCACTTGAATATCTGATGTACGTCTTTTTTTATGGCGTTTCTTTATACTTGTATGAATATGGTTTGGTGTGATCAATCGAAGCTGGAGAATCCATATTAAATCGCAGCCAGATGACTTTGACAGTGAATGAAGGCCATCGAGGTCTATCGTGATTCATGGGCAACACTTAGAAAAGCTTCGTGATCCTACAACGACTCTTCATCACCTTGGTCATTCACAGTTAGGGATGGTCATCATTCCACGCGCTTTGGAACAGATTGTGAATTCCACCAAGGTTTTGGTTAACTTTATTTTTTTGTGTAACTTAGGAGTAGATATCAATGTAATCTCTTGCCTGAGCTGAACCATATAATGTTTGAAGTTATGCCTTCTTTCCAAAGTTTAAGGGTGCTTCCGATTTCGGCGCCCTGAATGTAGATCGACTTTTCTACATTTTTGACAAATTTGGCTTCCGCTGAGAGTATCACCAACCAACGCGGAACCGTACGACTATAAGAACGGTCTCATTTCAAACTGGAGGGGGATTTTCAAGGCTTGTTGTTCATCAAAGTCAGACATAATAGAAGAGACTACGGAAGAACTAGAGCTAGCCATGAGACATCTGAAAGTTGTAAACTTGAAGGCCGCTTTTATGGCTGACTTAAAATAGGATGAGATAGCCAACCTCACTGAATGACCAGCTGCACTGCTCATCGAAGTATAGAAGTAAGCTGCTGATTTGACTCAATTTCATGTAAAGCCAATAAGAAATAGAAAACGCTTCTTTGGAAAATTGGATGCACTTGGTCGGAAGTTGGTGACAAGTTTGATAAAACTACTAAAGACTCTCGTACTTTGAGTGCAGGTAAATGTTCACCACAGAGGGGTGAAAGACTATATGCGGCAAATGTAAACAGGGTCCTTGTATTCCTGCATGACTGGACCATAAGGTGCTGCAACCCAACTTCATGAAATGTAAAAGCAACAGCAAGTTATCAAATGGTGTTGGTAATATTATAAATAACTTCCATTAACGGAAAACAGTAGGCTGCGTTCAATTTGATAAGAATTCCATCAAAACTCTTAAGTTTGGTAACAAATTTCAGTAGCTAGTAGTCTCAGGAGATGGATACCAAGCTTTCGGCACTGCAACAGATATTCGTAGTGCTTCAGGTCAGTGAATGTTACACCCGATGTAATATTCATCGACACTTGCCAAGCTTCTGATAACGTCTCCTATCTGAGGATAGGCATTTCTCAGATTTTCCCATATATTTCTGGGAAAATGTTAAGAACTAGGACAGTTACCTAAACACATATAATTTCCGGCAGCATGAAAAGAGACTCTACGCATTTTTTCATACTTTAGTACTATCAGGGCGGCAAGCAAACACAAATTTTAACTGTCGAAAGAGCATACCTTACTAGTGAACACGTAAAAGTTGAACAAAATGTTTCAGAACAACCCTGTGGGAACTATATGAAATTATTTGTGAACCAACTGAACTGAAAATAACGTTTCCTTTTTGTTGCCTTCTCAACTTGACGTCATTCACTTCTCACAGGGCTTCACATTTCCAGTGACTCTGGAAAACAGCCATGACCAATAACGAAGCTGTCGAATGCCTGTGGCGTTTCTGAGCTCGGGCGATATTTAGAAGTCTTGACGAACACACCTCAACGCAGAGGCTGAGGGAAGATAGCTGTGTGTTTACGTCCCGGTGAACTGACCTGAAATTAGAAATAGAAGCACCCCTGAGATTATATTATAGAGCATTCTTAACTTGATGCTTTTCCAGATTGGAAATTGAACACCTGGATTTACCGACCTTTTGTTGAGGCTTTCGCCTATGTTACCCGTAAATATACTACAAAAAGGCTCTAAGTGTCTGAAAACTGGTAGGATTTACGAGTTTCGGCAACCTGAAGATTAAGTAAAGTGGTTGGCAATAATAGAACTGAAAAGCACACACCACTATGTTTAGGCCCAGAGTTGTTATGAAATTGAAAATTCTCTGACATCGGTTACAATACTAATTACCGACGCTAGAAAAAACTCACCCTTCCAACACTTCCATTCTGAATTCCTCATATCAAAGCAGTGCCGAAACGGATAATGTGTCTACTGCCGATTCGAAGAAATGAATGCTGACTTTACATCTTGAAATATGACTGATATCTGTTCGAGATTGTTTCCTTGACAGTCGCGTCTTCGCGGCTGACTTACGAAGCAGGCCGCTAAGCTTTCTTCAAACTGTGAACGAACGGATTGTACTGATAAGTCTGTATGTTCTGCATCATATAGAGAATTCATGCACTGAAATATCCCTGAAATTCATCGTATTTCTGGCTTCATAAACTAAAACATCTTCATTTACTCTTATATTGGCACTCTGGGGCCATCTGCCACATAGCACGACCAGAAAGCACTTCATTGGCAGAAGCATTATTATTACATGCTTCCAAGACCAACAAATAATCGATCATCGCTTGATGCAACAGGTGGTAGTAATGTATGCAACACCATCAAACCCATTCGTATTCCGATATAATCCGCCTAGTATCCTTGCCCCAATTTCTTGAAGTTAAGGCCGCCGCGTAAATCCATCACTCTACGATTCTAATGGCCTCTCACGTGGGTTAGACCCTTTTCATTCCGTCTCGTTAATTCACACTCCATCTGCAACAAGCCGACAAAGGTCTCCAGATCACCCACTGTCTATTGTTCTCAACAACTCATTAGAGGCGCAACAAACAAGAGATACCTCCAATTCAGGTATTTTCCAAACAGTTGCTCTGTGCCAAGAAGATATGGACTCTTTGTGCGTGAATTTGGGGGCGTTATTTGTGTCAAGCCAGACATAAAGTCTGCTCAGCATGGCAACACCGAACTACCTAGGATACAGGACTCAGTTTGAATCACCTCCAAAGCCGAAAAATGCACACCAACGTTATCTGATTCAGGCGTACCATCATCCAGATTCACGTCCTGGGTAATATGATGATAGTCATATATACTCATCTTATTGCATCGTTAACTGGTATGGCAGCAAGTTGCAGTGGCTTCCAAGTGATTTTTGTCATCTGGGACCCATGTCATTGATCAAGACTTCACACAGAACTATTTAGCAAATTAGAAGTAGGGAGATGGATCTAGTGGCTTAAGGAACCTACTGAGCTTCGCAGCATGGCAAACCTCATCTTCACTTGCGAGACTGAACCTTTGACCCCGCTTGCTAGTGGCCGGTTAAAAATTTGTTCCGGACAATTCATCATCACACAGCCTCACAAAGAGAGTCCCAAACAGAAACTAAGGTAACTTTATTTAGAATGAGCTACAGTCCGTTATCTTCCTGAATTGGTTTCTAGTTCCCTGTCGACTCCAGATGAAGAATCTAAAAGCTGAGAGTGATTACCTGGCACCCTTTTCTATTTCTGGAAGCCTGAGGCAGCTAAAATTGAATTCGTCCCAGCTTCCGCCAATAACTGCCTGTGTGAACACGCTAAAACACCACCATGCGTCCGATGTCTTTTGTCTTCAGAATTAATGATTACTGCCTGCAAAAAATCTGGATCTAATGAGTGTCAATTTAGTATGAAATAAAAGGCTTCCCTGACTGCTGGCATTATCGACAGGACGTATTCTCTGATCACAGAATTCAAACCTAAGATGAAGTCACCCAGGAAGAATACCGGTAGAACTTTTGTGAATATTGATTACCTTCATGACGATTTGCGAACGGTTTGTGAACTTTTTAGGTGCTAGTATGCTGGCTACTGCAGAAATGAAGACTGTCCCAACAACGTAAGTCTGTTACAACTGTCTGGCTGCTGATAAGTGACACCAGCTTCTGCAACAATAAGGCTTCCGCTGTCACTGCTCCCAAAATCCGGCTTAATGCTTGCCTCGATAGAACCCTTGCCATATCTCTGAAGAAAGGTGCTGTAGATATTTTTTCTGCTAGTAAAGCCGTATTCCATATCACTTCCAATCGCAACCTGTCTTTATGGGCGGAAACTGCCCTATATGGCACTTAAGCATAAGTCTGGCTCCTTTTTACTCGCAGGCGATTATCATCCCACGAAAACCACTTTAGCAATATTAAAAGCATGGGAATGTGGTCTTTTCCAACGTAGTTGACTGCCTACGCACCAAAACCTATTGCCTTCATCCCAAAATGGATTCCCAGGCGGCTAATCATGTAGTATATACCTTCTGGAATGATGCAGTAACGTGACTGACATGCATGATCAAACACTTTCCACCTATGCCCTATTTTTTCCCTAAAACTTGGTTAGGGATCGGGTGCTATTTAAACGACAGTCAGTAAAAGCTTAATCGTGCGGCACGTCAGACGCCCTATTGGTTCGCTCTAGTTGTTTTCCGGAGGGATATTTGCATACTGTCACATCCATTGGAAAAGGATTTATTCAAACTGATACGTTAACACCCTTACCAGTCGTACCTGTGAGGCGTATGTGCAACTGTAAATTACAGAAGGCTACTTTTATCCCCAAAAGGATTGAAAATAGTAGACAGCCTTACTCGTAATGGCTCAAAAAATGATCTACTCTTAGCACGGATTGACCTGAGCGATTTGCATGCCTGGAGCGATCTGTAGCAACTGCCCTAGGTACTAACAAATTTGGAGTCCCTGCTTACGGTAGCCCTCACTCTGTTTTAGCCTTCACCTTAGAACCAGCTCTTAAACCCTCACTTGCATCTGCAAGTTGGATGTTAGACCTGCCCTTGATTCGCTGTCCTCAGAACCCACCAGATGTATTGTCCCGGAAAGTAGAAGGTTCCTTGGCTCCCTTCACCACAGCCTCCCTACGTGGCAACCCGGGTCACTGC